GAGGAAAGATAAACATTCATAAGGAACCACACCAACAGATCATCATCTCACATGGAGATTTACCTCATTAAAAGCCTGTTTTCGCTCAGAAAGTGTTTTCAGAGCCCCATATCTTCTATCATTAATTATTGCTCTCATGGACTAACAATTTTCATGCACATATAAATAAGCTAATCAAGATGGATCAACAACAATTAGTCACAAATGAAATTAACCTGCTCCCAGTTCCAGTCAGGCCCAACACTTGCAGATTCCAAAAGAGATTTAAATGCATCTTTGGCCTCCTTAAATAATCAGAAAGAATTGAAAAATCAGACAGGGAATGACACTAAGAAATAAAAGGAGTTGATGCTACTCAATAAGATCATCTAGATTAAGATTGAACAGAGACAGATACAATACCAAGAGGATATAAAAAAGAACCCACCAGTTTGCTAGGGTAAACTAAGGGTGATGGCTCAGTCAATTTCTCATCTGACGAAGCAACACTTCCCTTTTCAGAAACTCCAGCACCTATCTCAACTTCCTAAAATATGTCAAAAAATAAAGCGAAGGAAAACGAGCCATAACATTATTGTTTGAACATAGAGACATAACTCATAACTGTATCACTAATGATGTGTCCAGTATATAAGACTTCAAAAAACCTGTGTCTTTCCTGGAGAACCTATATCTGAATCAGCTGCAGCATCATGAACTGAAGAAATCTCAGAAACCCTGCAAAATTTTATGGTGACAGTGAAAAAAATTCTTGTTGGCAGCAAAACTTACTCTTATGACTTAAAATTTTGAAAATTGCAAATACATTTGAGTTGTGATAGGGTCAGCTGGGGTGGTAGACACTCCATGTCCATCTGACTTGACAACTGGTGAAGCGGTTTTGGAAGGAGTTTGCATGCCAACTGACTCGGTTGGTGATTTAGATACATTATCAGATAGGCTTAACAGTTCGTTAGTGACTACTGGTGCCACTAATATTGGGCTTGCTCCAGCTTCTTGAGGTAAGGCTGATAAATAAGCTGCGCTAGGAGATGCTTTGGCACTACAAAGCGATGTTTTATCAAGGGTATGAGAGACACCACTGTTTTCTTGTTCTAACACCTTGATTGGCTCCAATTTGACCATCTCGCGAACCAACTGATAAAAAGAAGATTACTAGCTCTTACCTTAAGATAGATAAGGAAACTTATATGATCAAATGTTAGTTTTTATCTGATCAGAGGACCTTTAATTCATCAGGTATTGCCCATTTGGACACCTTGGTAATCTTGTTGTAATAGTACCTACCAGAATATTCAAGCCAATACCTTTAGAAGCATATATGTACATATATATAATAGTATAGTACACATGAAGAGGCCTCTAAGAGCAGATTTCAGAGGGAAAAAAATTTTACACACTTATTCCCATCAGGGCTTGTACATTCTCTCCAGTTGGTGGAAGCATCAGCCTTCTGCAAAAATGAAAATAAAAAACGAAGGCGCAAGAGTACAAAGAAGAAAGTCAAGAAACTGGTCACTTGTTCAAAATTAACAAAGAACACATAAATAACAGATTATGGTGCAGGTACTCAGTTGCCATGGAAAAAGAAACAATGTTTGAATGCCAGAAACTCTAGTGTCATTATTCCAATGGCGACTGCATTAACATCAGCCAGCCAGAAAAAATTCTCGGCTTTATTCCAACAGATTAATGAGAAAAAAAATCAAAGCGGGTAACCAAATACAAATAAGACAAAATAAATTGAAACAAGAGAGGGCATTTCAGATATGCATGCCGACAAAGAATATGAATACTTTTGTCCAAAACATGCAGAAACAACACTACAAGTACCATCTCTAGGGTAGTAGGGTGGAGACAAAAAGGGGGAAGTGTGACATAAACCTATGTAAACATGAAAGTAAGATGATCAAAGCCTGGTACAAAAATAAAAATACAACAACAACAATGCCTTATCCGAGTACGTGGGGTCGGCTACATGGATCAAATGATGCCATTGTGCCCTATCATGTTAGTATCTGCACCGAGATCATTCACGCGAAGGTCTCCCTTGACCACCTTGTGCCAAGTTTTCTTAGGTCTACCTCATCCTCAAGCCACATGTCTATTCACCATTTCATCAACCCTTCTCACCGTACAAAATAAAAATAAAACAGCACCTCAAAGTGCAGAAATTAAACCTACTACCTGACTAGTGAGTTTGCTGTTATGTAAACAAATAATTCAACAAAGCTTATCCTTCTCATTCATGACAGAAGGGCTGTTACTGCAAAAACAGGGAGCAACAGGCAAGAAAGGGTGACTCCACACAATGATAACTCCTAAATGGTGTTTCCCCAAATCCTCAACCAGCTCACTTCCCTCAAGGATAATCATACATTCACATGAGAAAGAAAGGAAATGCATGCCTCAATTGCAGTCATCAGCTCCAAAGGTTTCTCCCAGCTAGATACTTTTGTCCTCATGTTGTAATAATATCTGCATACATCAAAGCTTAAGTTGCTTAAATAAGTCATTTCAGTAAATTAATAGAATGACATGCTTGAAAGAGTTGTGGGGGTAGCAATGTCTGAACATGTTATGTATTCTGGTTGAAGGCAATTTGTTCACAATATAATATATTGACCTAAAAGCTGATAATACTTATAACAGGAAGCAAAATAAGGATTGTGATAGCCACACTCCACCACAGGGCTAAACTCACTACAAACTAATCTCACTCCAACATTTTTGGATATTGGTCTTCATATCCATTTGTGGAACTTACATGGAGTTAAAATTAACCTTTTATTAATTTTTTTAAAATAAGATATGTTTAAAAATTTTCAAAGGAATGTTCATTGTTTTTTTTTAAGTTAACAGTGATACTCCCTCTGTCCATTTTGAGCTAAAAGAGTCATTATTGACAATGTTTTAGTTTCTGGCGCGTGATGGATAAAATCAAAATGGGACATTAAAATTCTCTTGCATCTTGCTTTCTACTCCCTCTGTCCCACTAGATTCTTTATTGTTTCTATCCATGCGGTCAAAGTATTTCTTCTTTCTTTATCTATTTCCATCTATCATGTGATAAACAATGTACTCATGTCAGCACTTATTTTATAGATCATTTGACGTAGTTCTAAAATTTATGAATTTTATTGTTTAATTTTATAATAATTTTTATAAAAAGGGATTTGAAAATAACATTAGTCACACACCGCAAACCGTATTGTAAAGAATTTGATGGGACGGAGGGACCATTAAGTTTTGGACAGTATATGTAGCAATGCATCTAGGGTCTAACCAAAACAACCTCTCTAGTTTTACAGGGGTACGAGTGTGTACATCTTAACGCCACAAACCACAATGGAGTTGGGATTCTGCTGGGTTGTTGAAATCCCTCAGTCCTTGACATTGCACTTTACGATGTTTGAATAAAGTTATTTTTAGTTTAATTTCTTGCGAAATTGGGCTAAAATAAAAAAATCAATATTTTTAAAAACTACATCAAATGTTCTATAGAACTAGAGGTGGCTTGATTATTTTTTATAACAAATTATCAAACAACATATAAAATGAAATAAGATATAGTGTGATTGTGTGAATAGTAAATGTAACATCTTTTGAATGCTAAACGTAAGATCCTTCAAGGGCGGAAGGAGTAATAACTATTCTTTCATACCAACTGAAAATTATCTGATTGAAAGATATAAACATTGTAAAAATTGGTGTGTAAAATATGTTGTAAATCTATCGTTCTTCTATTAAAAATACGTATCAAGAAACATATTAATTTTTTATGGGATTTTGATGGAATTCAAAAATTAATGATTTTATTGTTGTATATTTTTAACATGTTTATGGAAACTTTATCGACAAAGTAAAAATTGTTTTGAAAATCATTTTAAAAGATAGCAAAGGCGTGCACAGAGCAATATCAAAAAATACTGGAGTGAGGTTACATTATGTAGTGAGTTAAGCTTTTTAATGGGAGTGCGGCTAGCAGAACCCGCAAAAGAAACAGATGCCCCATCCAAGATTGTCACTTGAATGAACAGTTACGTTCACAACCGCTCCAAAGATGATGTGATTAAAAACTCAGAGTTCATTATTAGTCAAACATTTTATTGAATTATCATTATTGCAACTTTTTAATTTTATTAAACTGATAGCTAGATCTTACATAGAAAGATAACAAATATCTTATACCAACTTCTTTTTCCACTAAGCGGTTAAGTGGTTTTAAGTAACAGATATTTTACGCACTTTTTGCCGGTGCGGGCAGTATGTTCTATCCAACCTGACTCCATCTTATCAGCAGATCCAAGCTTAGGATTTGCTTCCTGATATGTAAAAGAAATATTTCAAGAATATCAGAATTAGAAATAAAAAATTAATTGAGCACCACATTAATTCCAACCATGCTGGAGTCAGTGGCATGAAATTTATATAGAGTATAATTTAATTTACTTATTTAAGAAATCTCACCAAAATAGCAGTATTGCTTTCTTCTTCCCTTTTTAGCAAGGGTTCATTGCTCTGCTCCATGGGCATGTTTTTAGAATTATCGCTAGGGTTCCCAGGCAACACACATGGCTGTCTGCCAACGGGAAACATAGAATCGCTTTTTTGTGCCTGGTGTAGACTTCCAGAAGACTCTGAATCCATCTGCAGGTGAAACAAGGCAGGGACCAAAAAATGAGGAACTTTAGATGCTAAATGATGCTCCGTCCTTCACACAAAGGTTTTCCCATTTTGAGTTGCTAGAGTTTAAAAAGTGTTAATAAGTAAAGAGCAGATTGTTAGAATTTGTTAAGAACATTTCATCAAGCAAGGTACATTACTTATACATTGAAATTAGTTCTGCAGTGTATTCTGTGAAGGCCTGAGGGTTTAATCTATCAAATGAGATGAGATACGAGTAAAGAATTCTGCCTAATTAATTGATTGATGGGCATTACAGGTGTGTTTTAAAGGCATTTTCTCAATTATGATATCTTGAAAGAATGGAAGTGCATATTCTTGTTCATTTTTGGCATTTTGGTGGAATCTTTTTATGCGTACTACAAGTCAATATACCATAAAGAACCAATGTCTCTCTCCTTTCAAGACAAAAGCCTCTGTACTTCGGTTCACATATAATGAGTCCTTCCCTCTGTAAATGGAATGACTACTTTGCACTCTGCATGTATTTACATATTGCGACCTTCTAAGATAGAAATAATACTCCATGCTTATTTGTTGCCAAAATCCACTTCTAAGTACTCACTCCGTCCAATAAAAATCTTCTCACTTTCCATTTTCATCCATCCCAACAAAACTTTCCTTCCCTTTTAAAGTAAAGAATTGTGGTTATCAAAATTTCTCTCCTCTTAACCAATTTGAACCACACTTTTTTCACTTTTCAACACTTCTTAAGCTCCGTGAAAGCCAAAGTGAGAAGCTTTTTTAAAGGGACAGAGGGAGAATTATTTTATTCACAATATATATGCGGTAATATCCAATTCAGTGTCGAGACTATAGACTACTTAAAAGTATGTTCCTCAACTTCTGTTCACTTTTAGTTTTCAACTACAAACTTTGGACTCAATTTAGCCTTTGTGTTGTGCAAATTTTATTTTAAATAAGGGTACATTGTGTGTCCACTAACTTAAAACCCAATTTATGATTTGATTCATAGGTTGTAAGGCGTCGCCTAGGCGATAAGGCGCTATCTCTTGGACGCCTAGTCTGTTTACCTCGCCCAGAAAACTTTAAGGCGTCCATGCTCTCGCCTAGGCATCGCCTTACTCTCGCCATGATGCCTTGGGCCCCTTTAAAATTTTAAAAAGCCGAATGTTTTTAGTGCAGCCCAATTTTTTGAAAGCCTAATTTAAAATGTTTGAAAAGATCTGACTTAAAACTTGTGACTTGCAATACACACACACACACACACACACACCTATATATAGGTTGCCTAAGCATTGCCTAGGCGATATGAAGGTACATTGGCGCCAAGACGAGCACCTTACAAACTATGATTCGATATGGTTCTCAAATACTCAATCTGTCCCAAAATAAATTTCAGACTTCTTTTCAGTCCTTCCTGTTGGAGTTCCCACATCAGAAAATAAAGAAGAACACCACTTGCATACATAGAAGGGTGAAGCCTTACGGCGCCTACCTATCATCTTAAGCTTTTGTGTTAGAAAGTGGATCACGACTTTATATGCAAGTGGTTAATTTTACCCGACACTCCACATGTTGTTCCTGGCCCACCAAAATTTTAACATGGTATTGGAGCAAGTCCGGTCCAAGTTCGATTCGTCCTGGTTGTTTGGACGTGGGAGTGATCCGTCCGTGGTTTAGGTTTAGTATGTTATCAGAGATTGTGAAGCCATTGCCCGTTGTGTGGGCTAGCTATAAGAGATTGAGATATTAGACTCATATGTCCAAGTGATAACTAGACCACGCTGGTTACCACTTGAGTGAGAGTGTTGGAGTTCCCACATCTGAAAATAAAAAACACCACTCGCATATATAGAATGGTGAAGCCCTACCTATCAGCTTAAGCTTTTGGGTTAGAAAGTGGATCCTGATTTTATATGCAAGTGGTTAATTTTACCCGACACTCCACCTGTTGTTCTCGGCCCACCGGAATTTTAACACTTCAAAAACAAACTTCGACTTCTTTGTTTTCTTATTGAGGATTGAAATGTGTGGCTCACATTGTTTCTCTTTCTTCTTAACAAATTCTAACCAGACTTTTCATTCTCCAACACTTTTTATAAGCCTAAAACCCTAAAGTTTATTTTGGGACATAGGGAGTACGCAATTTGGATCCAATGTATACTTATTCTACAAGTTCTCTATTTCATTTCTTAAGGAATCTAATGTGTGTATCCTTCTCCAACAAGTTAGTCAATGGAAGCTATATAAATATAAACAAGAATATGTCACAAACTAGGGTACAAAAAATGCGGTGGCTTAAATAATGGTGGAAACTTTTTTACCTTGAACGAAGAAGAAATTGGCAAACTTGAGCCACTGGGGCAAGGCATATAGTTATTTGACATCTGAAAGTTTTGTTGAGGTTGAAGAGCAACAGGTGTGACGGGCCTGTTTGCAAAATCAGGTGGTGGTGGAATTGCCTGTGGTGAAGGAACATTGTGCGCTCCTGCAATAGATCTACCATGCATCTGCTGCATTGGCTGAGGAAAAGGGACTTGTGAAGGAGGAGGAGGCATCATAACATTTGTATGCCCAAGAGGCTGAAATTGTTGAGAGGGTCCTGGGATGAATGGCTGTGGTGGAACCATATGTGGTCGGAACTGTGGCTGGTACACGTAACAGCAAATTATAAAATAAGTTCATTAAAGCTACAAAGTAATAAAAACAAATGGGATGTATAATATTCAGGTATATCAAGAGTAAGAAAATATACCGGCACCGGCATGGGTGTATAAGCACTCTGAGGAGGACCAGCTAGAGGAAGTCGAGGCGGCTTTTCCGATGTCAACAAAATTATAGAAGTAACTCAATATAACTTATAAGTAAATAACTGGAAAGACACAAATGCACCTAAACTAGTGTGTGCCCATAACTTACATATGAATATAAGAAAATGGTAAGAATAAACCAATTGTGCCTTATAGTAATGACCATGAAGGTATTATAGTTAGGAGATTATAAATACATCAACAAATTCTTCAATGAGCCACTTAGCCTAAAAAAAACTAAATAAAAGGAATGGCAAAAAATTTGGGAAGAAAATGAACTTTAGGAAGGGTTACCTGCATGCTAGGGAATTGAGAGTTGCTAGCCATTGAAGCCAAGGAACAGGTTGCTAGCCATTGAAGCCAAGGAACAAAAGTCAGAAAAAACTGATAACCACAATTTTATTAGCTCAAGTAAAGAACCAAGAAAGATAGAAAATGAGAAGCAAACATTGTATATAGAGACTAACCATGCCATTAATTAATGACAATCATGTATGAGCATTGTATAAGCCTTTTGTTTTTTCAATGTGGAAAATGTAACCACAAAAACTATTCATAAGACATACAAATTAACGTAATTAAGTAAATAACTCAGTAAAAATTTTCTCTCTCTCTATGAGTGCTCTAACACCCCATATCCATGAGGTCAAACAACAACCCAGTTGAATCCCACAAGAGTAGGGAGACGTTACCCCTACTCGAAATTAGAGAGGCTGATTCCAAAGAGACCCTCGGCTCAACATCAAAAGTTGCATTGATAGACTAACTGCTACTTCATTAACTAAAGAAGCGCATACAGTTTAGAGATCCACTTTGCTTTATTCCATCACACCCCAAAGCCAATAAATAGTGAATTTTGGCTTCATCGGAGATGATTGAAAAATATCCATGAGGTCAAAGCAGCAATTAATTTTGACCATGCCTTCTGTATTGACCCCACAGGTCGAAGAGGAGGCTTTGCTCTTCTCTGGCGACCCCCTCTCACTGTTAAAATTCAAAGCTCCTCTCACTACCACATTCACGCCGATATCTCCCCCCCCATTCCTTAGGGCTTGGCGCATTACCGGCTTCAATGGTAGACCAGAACGCCATCTCTGCAAAGAATCTTGGCAATCTCTCTCCACACATGCTTCCCAGAGCTCCCCCCACTTCTCCAATGGCTTTGCTTTGGGGGCTTTGATTCAATCTTCCATCAAGCCAAAAAGATTGGCCAGCTTCCCTAACCATCTTGCTTTATCTGGGACTTTCAACAAGCTCGCTTTGTAGGGAAAAGCTCTTTGCATGAGGAACTGAATTACAAGCAATATAACCTCAAATTTTAGGAATGCAAAACTGAACAGCAGCACCTTTGCCAATCTACCAATCCTCTAAGCCACTGCCGGACCCGTCTACTCAATTCTCGGATCCTATCCCTTCTTTGCCATTGTGAAATCCTTTGGAAGCAAAGAGCTAAATCTTATTGGCTAAAGGACAATGATAAAAATAGCAAGTTCTTTCACCGTGTGGCTTCTGACAGACGCAATAAGAATCTTCTCCATAAACTTAGAGATGTCGAAGGCAAATGGACCACATGGGGAAATGGTACTGAAGAGGTAATCCATCAATACTTTGTAAATATCTTCCACTCCAACTCCCCTTCCAAACCTTTCCCACCTTTCCTCTCTCCAAAAAAAACCACCCAAGCTCGGAATACACTCCTCATTCACCCATATTCACCCGCTGAAATCAAAGATGCACTCTTCACGATGCACCCCAATAAATCCTCAGGCCCTGATGGCCTCAACCCCAGATTCTAACAAAAACATTGGTCCATTATGAGTGATGAAGTGGCCTCTTTCTGCTATTTGTTCCTTAACCATGGCTCCCTCCCCGGAGCCCTCAATGACATCGATATCATCCTAGTCCTAAAAAAAAGGCTCCTGGATACATGACCAATCTCTGTCCCATCGCTTTATGTCAGGTTCTTTACAAGATTATATTGAAAGCAATAGCCAACTGTCTCAAGCTCGTCCTACCTTCCATTATCTCACCCTCCCAAAGTGCTTTTATTAAGCACCGTCATATTCAGAACCAGTGTTGTCAAGTCGTGCCTAGGTGACGACTCGTCGCCGACTAGTCGTCCAGGCGGTTTTGGATTAGCGACTAGGGCGATAGGGCGTGTAAAGCGACGCTTAGGCGCGCCTAGGCAACGCTTAGTCGGTGAAGAAAAACTGCCCAATTTGACCTAACCCAATTTCACCCATCCCAATTTGACCCGACCCGACCCAAGTTTCATTAATTTTTAAAATTTTCAATAAAAAATAGCCTCCCTCGACGCAATCCAATGAATCAATATTCTAGATTCAACCCTTCCGAGGTCGCGGCTCTCCTTGGCTCCATCATCAACATCTTATAGCAGTTGCATCGACATCTTCACACGCTCTCTATCATCTTATACTTGTAATTTAATTTAATTTTCTTTGATTTGGTTCTTTAAACTATAAAAGTATACTATATTTTAAATTTTTCAGTTTTCTTCAGTTTTCTTAGTATTTCAGATTGTGTTTAGCTGATGTCAATTAATATTTTGGTATTTTTTCTTATTTTAGTATTGTAAGGGTTCTGGGCTCTTATTTTTGCACGGTTGTTGGAATGTCATATGCATCCACTTAATTTAATATTTATTTCAGAACAAATGGGAGATAATAATATCCGCAACTACGACGATCCATCCAAGGATCGCAAACAAAAAGCCAGCTCTCATGACCCCAGATGGAAATATGGAATTTGGCCAAATATGAACAACAAAGATCTTGTGGAGTGTATTTTATGCCACAAACAAATCAATGGTGGCATAGGACGGATCAAACGTCATTTGCTAGTGGATTTGGGGATGTCACAAAGTGTCCAAATCCATGTCGTTGAACAAGAACAAGAGGTATTTGAGATATGTAGAGAAATGTAGAGAAATGCACAACAAGAGGAAGAACAAGAACAAGAACAAGAGAAATGCATCGGTATTTGAACAAGAACAAGAGGAAAAAATCCATGTCGTTGGATGTTGAAGATAATCATAAAGTTGGTGATGATGATATGAATGTGGATAATAGGCCTATGGGTTTCTCTATAGCTTCAAATCCTTCTATTACTCAACCATGTTCAGGTACAAATGCCAAAAGGAAGCAAGCTGCCCTTAAGTTAACTCAACCACAATTACAATTCGCTTGCATGGTAAGGAAGACGCATGAAGAAGTGGTTGACAAAAGACATACCAAGAGCCAAACACGAATAACGATGGAGCAGTCTGTCAAAAGTAAAGAAGAGAAAGAGCGGGTCCATATGCATATTAATGATTTCTTCATTAAGAATGGGATACCTTTTAATGCTTCTAATTCCAAAAGTTTTGAGATTATGATAGAATCAATTAAACAATATGGACCTGGGTTGAGACCACCATCGTATCATGAGCTATGTGTGCCACTACTCCAAAAAGCAAAAGAAGAGACCATGAAGTTGAAAAAGGGGGCATGAAAAAGTTTTGTCAAAAAATGGTTGCACGCTTATGTCAAATGGGTGGACGGACACAATAGGTCGGCATTTAATAAATTTTCTGTCAAACAGTCCTGAAGAGACTTTTTTCTTAGACTCAGTTGATGCTTCAACTCAAGTGAATGATGCAAGTATGTTGCAGATTTATTGGAAGAAAAAGCTGAAGAGATTGGAAGAGACAAAGTTGTTCAAGTAGTAATTGATAATAGTTTCCATTACAAAGCTGATGGAAAAGTACTTGAATCTCGTATTCATAGGCTCTTTTAGACACCCTATGCAGTCCACTGATTGGATTTCATGTTGGAAGACATTGGAAAGTTGGCATATTTTAAGAGCAAGCTTGAAAATGCAAGACGTGTGACTAAGTTTGTTTACAGACATGTAAGACTTCATGCTGCATTGAAAGAAAAAACCAATGGGAAGGAAATTATTCGACCTGGAGTTACACGAATTGCCACGACTTTCCTCACTCTACAGAGTATGTACAAGCACAATAATGCATTGAGAAGCCTCTTCATTAGTGACGATTGGCAGAGGCTGGAAAAAAAGTATGTGACATTGTACTTTCCTCTAGGTTCCGAGAAGTGGTAGAGGATTGTATAAGGGCATCACAACTTTTAATCGTGTTGGGAATTGTCGAGGAGATGAGCGTCCGGCCATGACAGAGGTGATAGGAGCTATGGATGTTGCTAAGGAAAAACTTAATGAGCCCTTTTCCAACAAACCAATGTTGGAAAAAATAGTGATAGACATAATTGAGAAGCGATGGGTGAATCAAATGGGGCAAAAAATATATGCAGCTGCATATTTTTTAAAAGCTGGCAAGTAATTTTGCTCAAAGACAAAGATAAGACATATGCATCTAGGCTTCGGGTCTTATTTAATGAGGTCGTAAAGAAAATGACAATAGGTGATGACAGTTTGCAAATGAAGATTATTCAGCAAGTGGTGAATACGATGAAGTAAGAAGAGGCCTTTCAAAGAGTATGCCCATTAGGCAACGAACGCTCATGTCCCCACGTAAGTATTTTAAATTAATTAATCTTGTGGGAAGTAAAATAGGTTTTAATAATATTTTTTATGCTTTAATGAAATTTTTTCTATTGATTGGTGGAATTCTTTGGTGGATATACTCCAGAGCTTCTAACATTTGCTAGAAGAATAATTGGTCTTTGTTTTTAATTGAAATTCGTTTGGGTGTGAACGTAACTTGAGTACTTTTTCGTTTGTAAGTAATAAAAATTTAATAATTTATTTTGAAGTTAGTCCATGCATTATTACACTTTCACACTAAGTATTGTTTTACAATTAGATTCACACAAAGAAAAGATATCAACTCGAGCATCAAAGACCAAATGATTTGGTGTATGTGAAATATAATCGTGAGATTGTCAATCGCTTCAAACGCCGTGGAGAACAAGGGAATAACTTCAACCCTTGATATTAGAAGATTTTCAATGGAATAATGAATGGGTTGATGCCAATGAGAAAGTTGTTCATTTGGGAGATGATCTTTTGTGGAGTCATATGGATGAGGCAAATGGTGCTTCAAACAATCTCGAGGGACGTGACTTGCGTAGGAGAAGTGGTACAACTTGCACAAGTGAACCTACAACTACATCAAATGCCGAGATTGTCTATCGCCAACGGGGTGCTTCAAATACGGGATTGGTGCATGATGATTTGAAAACCAAGATTGATGTTTTTCCCAATGATGATGAAGATGTTGATGATGCCTATGGTCGTATTTCTCCGCTTATTTATGACACCACAATGGAAGAAAACCGTCATGGTGGCATAACCTTCAATGATGATATTTGATAACTAAAAACATGGAAGAAAATATTTTAACATGTCCTTTGACTTCTTTTTGTGCTAATTATCTTTGTTGGTGTGTTATTTTTGAAGATTGAAGGATATTGGCTTAAGGGTGGATATCCTGGCAAGGAGGTTTTTGCTTCCCTCAAAACTAATGTGAGCAAAGCTTTTAACGGAATAGATTGGTGTTTCTTGGAGGAAATAATGACCAGAATGGGGTTCTAATACCCCTTTATTCACCTCATAATGTTGTGCATCTCTACCTCCACCCTTCATATTCAGCACGACAAAAAAACAACAACCACTGTCACCCCACGTCGTGCCATTCGTCAGGGTCCCCTATCACCCTTCCTCTTCGTCATATGTGCAGAATATCCAGATGCTCTACCACAACCTTCATCGGGGCCTTATTCATGGTATTTGCATTGCACCCACAAACCCAACCTTCTCCCACCTCATGTTTGTTAATGATTGAATTCTTTACTTCCAAGCTACTCCACCCAGCACATTCAAGTTGTCCTTGATGCTTATGCCTCTTTCTGCGGATAAATCATCAACTTCAGCAAGTTTGCCATCTTTTTCTCTCCTAATTCAAGCCCATCAGTTTGCAACTCCATTTGCTCTATCTCCATGTCAATGAGGTCGATAACCTTGGGAACAATCTCGGACTTCCATCCCTCATAGGTCGCAACAAGTCAGAAATCTTTGCGAACATCAAAGCGAAGTTCAATTCCAAGGTTCTCTCATGGAAAAATATATTCCTGCCTTCCTGGTCTCGAACCAGTAAAGAAACCCTGGTTAAACATGTCCTATCCTTTGTCCCCTCCTATGTCATGCAACCTTTCCTCCTCCATAAGACCTTTATTGACGACCTCCACCGCATCCTCTCTACCTTTTAGTGGTCTAAAGGCAAATCTAATGACAAAGGGATTCATTGGTGGCATTGGGACCATCTTTGCACGCACAAGCTTGAAGGAGGACTAGGTTTCCGCAACCTACACCATTATAAATTTATAACATAGCATTCCTCGGAAAAATGGCATGGAAATTCCTCCAACAACCCGAAGCTTTGGTGACCGAAATCATCAAAGCTAAGTATTTTCCTAACGCTTCTTTGTTAGGTCTGCTTCATCACGAATTGGCAGTGGTTCTTTTGTTAGACTTTGGCATGACCCTTGGTTCCCCCGGTCAATCCAACCTCTCCCGGCCACAGGTTATCAAGGCCATGACTTTCGAGTTGCAGCATTCATTTCAAACGGCTCTTGGGATCTGTCAGCACTCTCGGCAATATTCAACAACGTTGACATTGAAGCTATTCTTCAGATTCACCTTCCTGCATCACCTGTCCTTGACTCTCCATATTGGCATCTGATTTCCAAGGGGAACTACTCAGTCAAATCTGCATGTCACGCGCTTTTGCCGTCCTTGGATGCAGCTTCGGAAGCAACCCTCCAACACCAGAATGACATCCTTCCCTCTGACAAATGGAAACATGTTTGGGCAGGCAAGTGTCTTCGTAGGGTCAAAAACCTGATCTGGAGATGCAATCAACAATATTCTCCCAACTTGCCATCATGCAAAGATGCAGTCAGCTCACCATCTCTTCATTGACTGCATCTTTGCACGATAAGTTGCTACTGGAATCAGTTCACCATCTCTTCATTGACTGCAACTCTGCACAAGGTTTTTGGTACTCATCTTCTTTAGGATGGTTCTGCCCAAGCAGCACCTCTTTCTAGGATTGGTTCTCCTGTAATCTTTCATCGTTCAACAACAGTGACACCTCACTCTCCTTTATCCTGGGGATTCCTGGCAGCAATCTGGAAAGCACGAAATGATTTATTATGGCGTCATCAATCCCCAACGGCCTCATCCTCTTGGCAAGCAGCTTGGTATCAATTCTCTGAGTGGCAGAAAGCAACAAATAACAGCCCTGGCCCAACCCCCAGCCCCCGCTTGTGTACAAAAACCTCCTATGGACTGGGTAAAACTTAACACGATGCAGGCAACTGCACTAAAGTTGGTTGGATCGTACGCAACCACTATGGATCTTTTTGTGCCGCCAAAAACCCCATCCTTCTGCCCTACCACTCCTCTAAGGCAGCAGAGGCTTTGGCTATTAAGGAAGAACTTAGTTGGATCAAAGACACCTCTTGGCCCAAGATCATAGTCGAATCTGACTTTCTTAAAGTCATTGAAGCCCTCCAACAACCATACATTGATGATATCTCTCCTATTTCCCATATTCTTACTGATTGTGAATCTTTGCTCCCTCTGAACACCAGAGAGTGGTGCTCATTCCCCCCCCCCCTCCCCAGACTTTGCACTCGACATTATTCATACTGATTAATACATTCATTCCTCAAAAAAATGTAATCAAGTAAATAAAAAAGTTTATGGAATAGATTTGAGTACATTATTATTACAAAATTACATAAAATTAATGGAACACCCAAAAGATGGTTAAACCTTTGGCTTGACAATGCAGAAATGTTTCACCTAAGATATGTAATGTAAGGGCATCAGACAAAGTTAATATGCTATGATCCGTACTAGATTCAAATTCTTTGAATCTTGGTGTCTCTTAAAAATACCTCCGCATCCTAAATTAATATTTAATCAATTTAACAAATTAACAACTTGTATTTAATTAACAGTATAATCATTAAATTTATTAAAATTAACTAAATCTGCACTAGAAAAAATGACTAAATCTTACTAGTTCATACAACGACAACAAACCCAATAAAGATCCACAAAATGGGATCCGGGTAGTATTAGTGCATGTAGAGCTTACACTTAATCCTACCATTAGAGTAGATTCATACCTTGAGAGTATGAGTAGAAAGAGTGTTCCCAAGAGACCCGGCTGAAAACAAGACAAACACAGAACAAAAGAAAAAAAAAAGTAAAGGTCTTCATAGTGCAAATTGAAAGTGAAAAAAATCTCAATATCAATTACCTTTACAAGTTCAAAGAAATAGAAAACAATTACCTTATCACTCGGGTATGCAAAATTAATTATAAAATACAGAATTTTTTTAACATTTTAAAATTAAACATCCAAAAGAAATAGAGTCATAGAGATGAAGTTATTCGCAATTAAAAACGATAATCGAATACGAAAATTATAGTTGTATTAAGCATAAGAGAAAAGATATTAACTTGATGGAAGACGAACAGTGGTTCGGGGCCTTTACACGTTCGGCTTTGGGTTCAGATTTCCTCCAGGATCAGTTCAGGATCAGTTCTGCCCCGACGCAATGGAACTGATGGAAGGAGTTGAAAAAACAATGGAATGAAACTAGAACTAGCTCGCAAAAAAAAAGGAAAATCCTTTATATATATAAAGCAAACTCCGAGCTGCAGGAGCGTGACATTTGGCGGATCTAAAGAGTGACATGTGGTGGAGCTTATGTGTCAATATTTTAGACGAATAATGGTAATGTGGCAATTTGAGGGGCATTAAACAAAAAAATCTCCAAAAGAAAAACTTCCTTTGCCATCCGCTCTCTTTTGATGCAGAATAGCGTAAAAAAAGGAACTTTCCTTCTCCTTCTCAAACAATCACAGCTTTCCATTCTTGGATTGATTCGCAGCCAATCAGGGCCGGTCCTGAAGATTCATCGGCTTGGGCCAAAACATAAAAAAAGGCCCTAAAAATTTTATCCTTAATGGTCTAACAAATTAACATATGTTAAACTAATTATATTTAAATTATAATAATCGCAATATTATTAGAAGAAAAAAATAAATGACAAAATTATAGTATTATAATTACATACCGTAAAAGCTAGCCGAGGATTCGTATGAAATATATATTATTTCTAAAGACATTTTTGCGCTTTGTATGTACATGATTTAATGACTGGTATAACACATTTGGGTATCACTAAGAAACCCTCTGTGACGAAACATTGCAACTACGCGAGTGAAAGCGTCTTAACTCATTGAAATTGCAGAACATTTTATATCATCATGAATGGATGATTGGCCTTCCAATATTCATATCAAATCGTCAATTTTTCAGTTTTTAATTTTTTTTTAATTTTCAGTTTTTTATACACAAATATATAATAAATTTAAATCAATTCATCCAAATCATATAAATAACATATAGAACCATTAATTCACTCTATTTCATAGCAATTAACAAGAATTTCAAATTAAAAATTAATAATTAACCCTATATTTTAAATCTAAAGAATGAAACAATGAAAAAAATTAAGAAATAATTATGGAAATACGGAATGCCTGGAGGCTGGAGCTTTAGAGTCGGCGTCCGGCGGTGCGTCTGGCGGCGACGGCGGCATATCTGAGTTCCGTCAGTTCCGTACTTCCGTCGACCCTGCCTTCCGGTTCTTTCGTGCGGCTCTCACTCTCTCGCGTAACTAAGGGTCTAAGAGAAAAGATTGGTTGGGCCTGGGCTTCTAATACATATGTATAGACAACGTTTTAGTGTTACCGTTTTCATAGTAATTTGCACCGTTAAAATTTTATTCAAAATGCTAACGTTAATCTCTAACGTTATTCCGGAATGTGGTCATTATAAATAGCAAGAATATGTTTAAAAATACATTTTTCAAATTGAAGTTACTAAAAAATGTTTGTGCATTTAAGAGTGTGTGCACCAGTGTATAAATAAGACGTGTGTTATATAATAAAGAAACATTATTTTTTCCATTTTTAACTTTTTTTCCCTTTCAATGTATTACATTTTAGCATGGATACATTGAGCATTAACATACTCTCTATAGATTTTTTCCCACAAATAATCAACATAAACTAATAATATAAATTAATTTTAAAATAAACAAACCAATGTAAATATTATTTAAAAATTTGAAAAGAACATTACCCTTTCATTTAATTTTAATTCTGAAACAAAAAATAATAAATAAATAAAAATAAATAAAAAGTTGTTTGTCAAATTATTATTGATAAATATCAGGAGTCGTTCTTGAGTTGTTTGGCAAAAATCATGGAATCTCTTAGTTAATGAGATTTATTTGACAAAAGATAAATATTGCATAATTAGGGTATTTTTAAAATGAGTTTGTCAAACGTAGAGTCCATTTTAAAAAATAAACACTTCAAGACAAAAATTTCACCAAAAAAAACTTTTTTTAACCTGAATTATTGCCCACTGCGATATAAAAATCCTGAGAAGATCGGCACGGAGAGCTCCAAGGAAATAACACGGCAACGTGAGCCCACTGCGGAAGATCTGATTTAAAGTAACAGTTGCTCCAATAATTGGTTGCAAGGGTCTGTCTTCTGATTTGGGACAACAGACGCGGGGCTGTGATATTGCTCCAATAATTTGTCCCTTTGTTTTCTTTGATGGTGGAATTTTAGTGACCCCGTCTCATCATTCCATCACTTTACTGCAAGAGCCAAGATGATTGAAGATTCAAAAAGTAGACTACTCTTTTGGTTCAGCATTCTTTCTCTAGTGGGAGCAATACTTCAAGACAAAAATTTCACCAAAAAAAACTTTTTTTAACCTGAATTATTGCCCACTGCGATATAAAAATCCTGAGAAGATCAGCACGGAGAGCTCCAAGGAAATAACACGGCAACGTGAGGCCACTGCGGAAGACTTGATTTAAAGTAATAGTTGCTCCAATAATTGGTTGCAAGGGTCTGTCTTCTGATTTGGGACAGCAGACGCGGGGCTGTGATATTGCTCCAATAATTTGTCCCTTGGTTTTCTTTGATGGTGGAATTTTAGTGACCCCGTCTCATCATTCCATCACTTTACTGCAAGAGCCAAGATGATTGAAGATTTAAAAAGTAGACTACTCTTTTGGTTCAGCATTCTTTCTCTAGTGGGAGCCTCCACCTTGAGGACAAGGTGGATTTTAAGGGGTGGGAATGATACGGATTGTAACACCCCGGCCCCCACCCTAGCCGTAAGTGTCCGCTCATAGGATTGTAGACTGGCCCCACAAACCAACACAAGTCTTTTCCGCACGCTTTGTCCTCACTCGTGCGCGCCCAAGGAAAACTTCCCAGGGGGTCACCCATCCTAAAATTGTTCCAGGTCAAGCACGCTTAACTTTGGAGTTTCTAGGTAATGAGCTCTCGAAAAGAAGATGCACCTTGTTGGTATGAGTAGTACTATCAATCCTTTTGAGCTCTTCTCATTCCCATCTTGATACGAGGTATTACATGGATAATTAGTTAGAATATTTTAATTGGTTATATTATTATTTAGTAGTTATTTATTATTAGTTATAAATATTCTATAAATTAGGGTTTAGTACGGGCCCGAGCACATTAGGTCAACTAGCGTTGTTTTACTCTCTATATATTGTAATTAATCCTTCCCCGTTATTCAGAAATCAATAAAAAAATCAAAACACTAATCTATTCTCTATTCTCTTGGAGCCCGGAAACGCTCGAAGTTTTCATCTTTCTCTACCTCATCTTCTTGGAGCATGAAGAACGCTCGAAGTTCTTCCATATCCGATACGATATTCGTATCATTTGTATTTAGATTTCAATAAAAGTTGAGATTTGATAGATATTTTACATCAATTTCATTGTTCCAAATTTAGATTTTTGGCCAAATTTTTCATTAATTTTTACATCAATTTGGATTTTACATCGTTTTTATTCAAATCTTTTTAAAAAACTTAAAAATGTTCTTTCAGGTGTTCAATCATTTAACTAAACTTTAGTTTCATTCAGATTTTGATTCTAGAAGTTTGACCATTACACCGATTTTTTAATTCAATGTCTATAATTAAAAAATTTATAGACTAATAAACGAGGCAAGATATTGTCACCCATTGTTACCTGTGGTTCCAAAAGGGATGAGGCAAGATATTGTCAACGCAACACTTAATTCGTCCTACTTGTGGAAAGATTGCAAGGTCTTTAAACTAACTAAGAATATGCGACTATTAAACAACTATTTGCAAAATTCGGTTGACATTCAGGATTTCAATGATTGGATTGCAAGTATTGGTGATGGTAATGCAGGTGGCCAAAATGATGGTGTTGTTGATATTAAAATTCCACATGACGTTTTGGTAAATTGGAGTGATGACCCCATTGAAGCTATTGTTGAAGAAATATTCCCTTCAAGCTGTTGTCTTGATGCTGAGAGTACAATACTAGAGGAAAGGGCTATATTAGCCCCAACATTAGAAGTTGTTGAAGCAGTCAATCACTTCATGATGTCAAAAAACAGTTCAGAAGAACATGTTTATTATAGTGCTGATACCATATGCCAATCCGACATGAGCTATAACTTGGCTGGAGATTTACATACTACTGAATTTCCAAACACCATCAAATGTTCTGGGGTTCCTAATCATGAATTGAAGTTAAAGGTTGGAACACCTATTATGTTGATTCGTAATATTGACCATGCTAATGGTTTGTGTAATGATACAAGATTAATTGTAACAAGGCTTGGCACTCGTGTGTTAGAAGGAAAACAAATTACTGGAAGAAATGCCGGGGAGAAGTGATACGAATATCGTATCGGATAGGGAAGAACTTCGAGCGTCTTCGGGCTCCAAGAAAGGGGAGGCAAAGAGAGAAGGAAAACTTCGAGCGTTTCCGAGCTCCAGAGAAGAGAGACGAGAGATTAAGAGAATTCTTGATTATTGATTGATTATGGTAAAAAGGATTGATTACAATATATAGAGAAGAGAGGATGGGGGAACACCCTAATTAACCTAATGGGCTCGGGCCCATACTAAAACCCTAAACAATATTAACTATTAAATAATAAATACGAATAATTAATTAAATATCCTAATCACCATACATATCATTCTCACCCCCTTAAAACCACCTTGTCCTCAAGGTGGAGGATCCCATTCGTGTTTTTGGACATATGACCAAATGTTGACCCCAAGACGAAGTCCATCTCCTGAGCATTTTGCATGGAGCATGCCGGTTGAAGTGTAGCACTGGAGAGATAAGAGAAGACGAACCTTGTCTTGAACCACCTCCTCTGAAACCTGGTACGCGGACTTGACAACATCATCAATGTCAAATAACTTGATGGTATCAAACGATACTAAGTTGTCCGCTTGCGCATAATCTTCATCTGCGGCCTTGTCTGCACTCCTTAGAATTTCATACTCGAAAAAGTCCACCCCAACTAAGGCATTTAGTTGCACATATAGTACATGGGGTGTAAAATTTGACTTGGAGAATGATGAATCATTCAGAATATTAACCTTCGGTTGTTGAGCACCATAATCTTCATCAAAAGCACCACCATCATTGTCAATGACGTCAGACCCACTATCATTGTCCTCCTTGATAAAAGATTCTTCGCTAGATTCCTGTTGTTCATTCGTGTCCTCCACAGTCGGGGCGGGGAGTGTGTTGGCATTTTCCACCATGTGGGCAAATGTGTCTCTAGACTTCTCTGATGTGTTCTCAAAACAAACATAATCCAAATCATGTAACGGAGCAAATCGAATCTTGAACTTTTCAATAAAATCCTCCCAACCATCAATCAAGCCACCACGCATACGCCAATTAAACCAAGCCAAGACAGAGCCATCTAACATTGATGCCACACGGTTCAAACGATCAACTAAAGGAACTTCATAAAACTGGAAATACTCACATACCATAGCTAACCACTGCACAGGTTTGGTTCCGTCACATCTTGGGGGCAATGTTGGTGGAGAAAGTCGAGTGCCTGTCACTTTCTGTATAATACCCATAATGTGTACTCTGAAAATTTGTAAGTCAAAAGGAATTTGACTCTGCACAATTGGAGGTCCACGGAATATCGTATCGGATAGGGAAGAACTTCGAGCGTCTTCGGGCTCCAAGAAAGGGGAGGCAAAGAGAGAAGGAAAACTTCGAGCGTTTCCGAGCTCCAGAGAAGAGAGACGAGAGATTAAGAGAATTCTTGATTATTGATTGATTATGGTAAAAAGGATTGATTACAATATATAGAGACGAGAGGATGGGGGAACACCCTAATTAACCTAATGGGCTCGGGCCCATACTAAAACCCTAAACAAGATTAACTATTAAATAATAAATACGAATAATTAATTAAATATCCTAATCACCATACATATCATTCTCACCCCCTTAAAAACCACCTTGTCCTCAAGGTGGAGGATCCCATTCGTGTTTTTGGACATATGACCAAATGTTGACCCCAAGACGAAGTCCATCTCCTGAGCATTTTGCATGGAGCATGCCGGTTGAAGTGTAGCACTGGAGAGATAAGAGAAGACGAACCTTGTCTTGAACCACCTCCTCTGAAACCTGGTACGCGGACTTGACAACATCATCAATGTCAAATAACTTGATGGTATCAAACGATACTAAGTTGTCCGCTTGCGCATAATCTTCATCTGCGGCCTTGTCTGCACTCCTTAGAATTTCATACTCGAAAATGTCCACCCCAACTAAGGCATTTAGTTGCACATATAGTACATGGGGTGTAAAATTTGACTTGGAGAATGATGAATCATTCAGAATATTAACCTTCGGTTGTTGAGCACCATAATCTTCATCAAAAGCACCACCATCATTGTCAATGACGTCAGACCCACTATCATTGTCCTCCTTGATAAAAGATTCTTCGCTAGATTCCTGTTGTTCATTCGTGTCCTCCACAGTCGGGGCGGGGAGTGTGTTGGCATTTTCCACTATGTGGGCAAATGTGTCTCTAGACTTCTCTGATGTGTTCTCAAAACAAACATAATCCAAATCATGTAACGAAGCAAATCGAATCTTGAACTTTTCAATAAAATCCTCCCAACCATCAATCAAGCCACCACGCATACGCCAATTAAACCAAGCCAAGGCAGAGCCATCTAACATTGATGCCACACGGTTCAAACGATCAACTAAAGGAACTTCATAAAACTGGAAATACTCACATACCATAGCTAACCACTGCACAGGTTTGGTTCCGTCACATCTTGGGGGCAATGTTGGTGGAGAAAGTCGAGTGCCTTTCACTTTCTGTATAATACCCATAATGTGTACTCTGAAAATTTGTAAGTCAAAAGGAATTTGACTCTGCACAATTGGAGGTCCACGAACCAAATCCTGTACCGAGCAAAAAATTTCTACGTCGAGCGCATCATAATCAATTTGACCTTTAAAATTATGGATCGACCTGAGCTTCGTACTGATCTCATACACATGATCAAAAATCATACACACTCCTTCATCATGCTCAATTTCTCCATAAAGAACTTTTTCCAGCAAATCAATGAGTTTGTCAAATGCAGAGTCCATTTTCAAAATAAACACTTCCACACAAAATTATCACAAAAAAAAAATAACTTAAATCGTGCGAGTTGGTACCTATTTAGTTTTTTTTTGTTGGAGATAAACTTCCGGAGTTTTTGCAGTTGCTTTTTTTTTTCAAAACCAGAAGTGATGCGTCATGCGTGTGGGACTTTGGCGTCTGCAATCTTTTTTTTTCATGCAAGCACAAAGATGGAGATTCTTGGAGTTCTAATTGGCGGCGGTCCTTACGTGCTATGTGCAACCGCAAATTGGGCGGACAACAAATCTAGCGGCGGCAAAGGCAAATCGATAACGGTGTCGATCTGTGTTGTTGTGTGGTTCTAGACCGGCAACAATCTAGCGGCTGCTACTTGGCGTTCTCGATTTATGGGAACAGTGTTGCGACTCCGTGATTAGTCGCAAATTGATCTGTTCGGCTGTCAACAAGATTGGGATTCGGCAGATGGAGATGAGGCGATGACGGTGACCAATTCTTTTCTCTCTTTTTTTTTTGTTTTTTTGTACTCTCAATGAAAGCACCAATTGATACGAATATCGTATCGGATAGGGAAGAACTTCGAGCGTCTTCGGGCTCCAAGAAAGGGGAGGCAAAGAGAGATGGAAAACTTCGAGCGTTTCCGAGCTCCAGAGAAGAGAGACGAGAGATTAAGAGACTTCTTGATTATTGATTGATTATGGTAAAAAGGATTGATTACAATATATAGAGACGAGAGGATGGGGGAACACCCTAATTAACCTAATGGGCTCGGGCCCATACTAAAACCCTAAACAAGATTAACTATTAAATAATAAATACGAATAATTAATTAAATATCCTAATCACCATACATATCAAATTCCTCAAATCTCATTGACACCATCAGATCCAAGGTTGCCTTTTAAATTTCAAAGAAAACAATTTCCAGTCATCGTTTGTTATGCAATGACAATTGACAAAAGTCAAGGACAATCGCTATCCAAGGTTGGTGTTCTTCTAAAAAAGCCAGTATTTTGTCATTGACAATTGTACGTTGCAGTATCAAGGGTTACAAGCCGTTCGGGGTTAAAGATTCTGATATGTAATGATCAAGATAAACCAAATTGTGAAACTGTGAATGTAGTCTATAAAGAAGTTTTCACAAACATTTGAACTATTTTTTGCAATTCAATATACCTCTATCTTGTATAATTAGTGTACTTTACTAACATTATAAAGTATATCATCTACAGATTAAAGGAACTATTTCATATAATTTCATTACTACATGTAAACGCACGAATCCTTTATTTGTAATTAATATCTTAAATCTCGTGGTAATAAAACTTGCAATTATAATGCTTTGCTCTAAAAAATAAAAAAACTAACCCGTGCATCGCACGGGTGAAATACTAGTTACTTACATAAAATTAATACTAATGGTTAATTGCGGATCCTTCATGACTTTTTTTTTCAAAAATTGACTTAAATAAAAATAATAACCATAACTAAAGAGTTAATTATTGTAAATTGCAGAACCTTAATTTCTTTTTTTAAAAATTGACTATTGAAATAATAATACGTACTAACCATCATTACAGATTTATTTATATATTGTATAATAGAAGCCAAACTATACTAAATACAAATAATACTAATAGTAATTGATGGATCCGACTCTACTTAAATAAAAATAATAACCATAATTAACGATTTAATAACAGTAAATTGTAGAGCCTTAATTTCTTTTTTTGAAACTGACTTTACTAAAACAAAAATTCTAAATATAATTACAAATTTTTTTTACAGATCGTATAATAAAAGCTAAATTATACTAAAATAAAAATATGCTTAAAATAAAGTATGTCTATTTTATGTTCTATAAAAGTATACCTATTTTATACCTCTTACTCCAAGCCAATTCAAGCGATAATTTCTTTCGAATCCTCTACATGTTCCTTTCATAGAAATCCTTCGCGCACACTCTAATTATCTGCATTTACTAGGTAATGTTTTGCACATCCTTAAAAATTTTGTCTGAAAAAAATTAGGGGTAACTAAATGTGTTCTTTTACTCTTGACAACCTATATTATAATATCACTAATGCTATGAAGATGTAAGTTGCTATGGGCAAGGAGAAAGAAATTGCGAAGGAGTCCAAAAGAATAAAGATGCTCGTGGTCACATTAGAAGCAGAAGGGTGTTGTACCATTTTGTTAAGTGATTACATTTTAGAAATTTTTAAAATTAGGAATCTTAAACATATCTTTTTTAATTATTTTGATTTACAAATTTATTATTAACATATTTTGTAGCAAAGAAATTTGGTAAGAGTAATTTTGTAACAAACCAAAATATACGTATAGTACTATGTTTGTGTTTAATTTTTGAGTAAATTTCCAAAATAGTCCTTTGTAATAAGGGATTTTCCCAAATTAGTCCTCAGTTTTAATTACTCACAAGGTCCTCTATAATTGAGATTTATTCCCAAAATAGTCCTTTGTAATAAGGTATTTTTCCAAATCAGTCTTCAATAAGTTTTAATTACCTAGGTGGTCCTCTATAATTGAGATTTATCCCCAAGATGGTCCTTCATAAAGAATGTTACTCAAATGAGGATTAATTGAGGTTATTTTTTCTCTGCTAAATTTAGAATTAATTCTTAAAATAATCATTTATAATGAA